CACACTCTCATTGGCTAAGGACTAAACATCTAGGGTTTTGAGTTGTTTTGTCATCTAGCTTGATCAACAAGTCACTAGCACATGTTTTCTGCTTTTCGGTTTTATCCTCCATGTCACCTTGCCAACTCATCTTCCTTCTTTTGCTTGAGTTGGTCTTCACGTGGTCAACCATGTTGACGTGTGCATGGCCTTCAATAGTTAGTGGATATATTAAAATAGTATTTAAAATAAAATAGTTAAAGTTGATTTGATGTAAAAGTAAAAAAACTCTTGAGGGAGAGCTTTGCTTGGATGAGATGGCTTGGGTCTCTTCCAGCTTAACCAGTGGTCTCGTGTTCGAGCCCTGAGAATGCAGCAGTGTTAAAACTCTTGAGGGAGAGCTTTTCCGCCCTTGTGGTCCTACCCGGCTCGATTCCGGATTAGTCGGTTCCCCTGTGGATCCGGAAACCGAAAGGTCCCTGTACCAAAAAAAAATAATTAATTAAAATTATGTAGATAAATAGTGAATTAAAGTTGATGTGATATGTAATAATGATTTGTTGATGTTATTTAATTATATAATAATATTGGAGATAGTGTGTTGAGTTAAATTTAAATTTGAATAAAATAAATTACTGTACAAATGGTAAACAATCACCCCCTAATCCCCTATAATTAATTGTACAAATCCTGCTTCCCAAAAAAGTTACTGTTGCCTGCAACATATGCCCATACAACATAACACAATCCCTTCAAATATTAAAAAGAAAAATATAAACAAAATGAATCAAAACAAAAATTAAAATTGAAAACACTGTAGATTGAAACGACATTTCATAGACTATCTTTTGACGAAAAATATATATATATATATTAAATATAATTACATGTTGTAATAAAAGTCACATATATATATAAATAATTTTACTTATATGTATTTATTGTGTATATTGAAATATTAATTAATGGCTTGGGTGCATGGCTCGACCACGACACGAATTTATCGGGGTGTCTCATCCCTTACAAGTTCTAGCTTAATTATCCCTTAATTAATGGCGTTGAAAATAGTAGTGTCAGAGGAGACCAAGAATCAGAACAAGAAGGAATTATGCTTTGTTTGTGTATTCATTCATATATTCCCTCAACATCAACATATGTAGGGGACATCTTTGTGCCCCTATGCCTTGCCACCAACACCTTGTAACTTTCCATCAAATTAAATTTCTTTTTTCATTCAAATTTATACAATCTATGCATTTTATTTTTCTCAATCCCAAGATAAAGACCATTTAATTTCATTTATAATAATAATAATAATAATAATAATAATAATAATAATAATAATAATAATAATAATAATAATAATAATAATAAAATCGTAGTTTTATGTTCGCCTTGTTAGGTCGACCTGAATATGCATATTTTTCGTTAGAAAATATCAATTTAAAATTAATATAAACATAAGTGCATATTTGTTTGTTTATATAATATGATGGGTCTACTCGTTTAACCGTTGCATTGACTTACACAAGAATTTGTGTAACTATATATACTCTCTATAGATTTATATAAATAGTAGTAGTAGTAATGTGTAAAAGTAACTTGACCCACCTTATTTTATTTTATTAATTATGCTCGGTAGTTAATTAATGGTTTAATAACTAAATTATTTTTCGAATGAAGACATTAAAATACTTTGTTGGTGAGGCAACTTTTGCACATAGGCCCCAAAAAAAACAAAGATAAAGAGGTAAAGAGCAAAAAATCATTTGTTGACTCATGATCGCATTTTAAAAAATAGTTAATAATTAAGCTGTTTATAATTAATGGTCACTTCCAATAAATGTAAAGGGAAAAAAAAAAGAAAAAAAAAAAGATAGCAAAGGCTTTCTCATATATCCCCCAAAGATCTTCTTTTGCACTTGTATCATTATCCATATGAATCATTGACATACCCTTCTCTATATATTAATTCAAAACGTGTTGAGCTTAGGTGGCAGATTCTCACGCTTCGGATGCTGACATGGCGAAAATCTATGTTTCGTGATGTTGTTTTTATATTATTTTTGACCTGAAGTTAGGTAACTTAGGTTTGGTATTAGACATGAATAACTTTACATATATATTCATTAACTCAACACCCATATTGTACATGAGTATTAATACTAGTGCTCTTTGATTGACAAAGCAAATGATTAAGCCTATCTTTTGATTTGTGCATTAATTAAACATTAATTCTCCAATTTGTTCATATATATGCATAATTAAGTAGGATATATCTCTCTTATTGTTGGAACTATCTTTTGGTATGTAAAAATTTAAATCCTCATTGTAAAGAAATTAATTTTACTACAAGAAAATAGAGTTCTAGTGAAAAATTTTGTTGTCACTATGTTGTCACTATATCTACTGTCACTATATCTACAATTACTGTCACTATATCTACAACAATTATAGATATAATGACAATAATTGTAGATATAGTGACAACAACTGTACATATACTGACAGTAGATATAGTGACAACATAGTGACAACAATTGTAGATATAGTGACAAAAAAATTCTTCACTAGAATTCTATTTTTTGTAGGTTAATGTATATAGTACGTAGTGTCACGTAAAATGTTTCAATTATTCATGTGGTTTTTTTAATACTTAATCACTAGGAAATTTAGGTGATTAAATGCGTAGTGTTTTTCAGTTTGGACCGGCACAATGGGTCGACCCGGATTGATGTATATATATGCATGGATGAATAAAAAAAAGTATAGGATCTCAATCGTACAACATTATTATGAATTGTGGGGTTTATATGCATAATATTACATCTTTTTTATTTATTTTATTTTATTTTTCTTATTTATTTATTTATTTATTTATTTTTTTTTGTGGACCATGATATTTTTGCTAGTATTATAACCAAAAGAGAGAAATAAGAGGCCACACTAATTGTAATCTTTTCCCTTTAATAAAGAGACATTTCACCAGCTACTTAATTGGTAAGATAATTTTCTTGATTCATAAAACAAAAAAAATATCTTTTTTTATTCAGTTGTTATGTCGAATGTTAATTTTCACAACTAAAAAAAAAGTTGCATTTCACACAATATAAATATATATTTTGAAAATTCAAGTGATGAATCTATTAATTCAACTAACTGTTACAAGTTGACTTAATCGTTAAGAGTACTTTTTGGATGAGTGGCAAATGGCAATTAATATATGCAAGGGAGATGCTACGGCCACATAACGAAATTATTATTCGGGATTTGTAACCGTTAGATCAACTATTACCTAACGAATACATGATGATGTAGCGGTTAAAAAATGAAATGGTTCCGTAACGGGACTGTAGCATTTCTTAAATGCAGTAATGATTAGTTGTGGCCTCTCTTCTCCATATATCTAAATTGGAGGTGTACTGTATATTGCTTTTTCTGTGACGATCTTTAATTTAGGTAAATCAGTTGCTTTTTTTTTCTATCTTTTGTTCATTTTTTTTTTTAATCTTTTTTTTGGCCTTCCAAAAGCTGACAAATTGCATTTACCTCACAAAACTTTTTTTTTTTTCTCAGTAAAG